AGAGCTCAGTCTGTATTTTCCTGATAGGTCACTCACAAATTAGACTGAACTTCTATTAATAAGAAACCAGTGGTCTTTCAGAGTTTGGTCGCTGTGTGCACTCTACCAGTTTTGACTGGCAAGAAAGCGAAGAAAAAATTCTGTAAATCCCGTATAATGAACTGTCATCCACCACCATGCATTCATTAATATTACCAATTAAAGATATTTTCTTCATTACTGTGAAGCTGGCTCTTTTGACTGAAAGAGCGTTACCTCTTGTGATACAAAACATTTCCTTTTAGTTCAATTTTTGGCCTCTGCTAACTTGTGAAAGAGATTTCGGACTCTAGCCGCTAAATTCAGAAGCCAGCCGCTAACTTTTGCTGTTTGCCATTTGGTAATGAGCAGGTCTTGTGTTTTATTCAGTGGGAACCAAAATGAGTGATAGAGGCCATAAACTGAGAAGCAATGTGTTTGCCAAAGTCCCGGCAGAGAGCCGTTTTCCCCACAGACAATAAATCTTTCTGCGACCACAGCTATTGCCCCCTGGTGGCCTTTAAAGATAATGCAGCTCTATCTGGCTTCTATATTGACATACAGAATCTATATCCATCTTATATACAGCCTATGAAGATGAACATGAAGGGAAAAAAAATTAGCAGACAATTTTCTAAAAAGCTCCACAGAGTGGAGGTGGAAAAGCAGAGTCAAGTGACAATTCTCTGTGGATTCATCACTACAAGCAACCTCTTTTACATATATGCGTTCGTGAAAACCTGCTGATAACAGCCACATCAAGGTGCTGTCAAAATCATTTAGAAAGACTGGCGTCTCACCTCATTGGAGACATCCACTACAAGATTGTCTTCGCTCTTGTCTCCATCGCTGTCCTGAGGAGCAAAGAAGATAGAAGAAAGGGGAAAACATGATTTTTCAAGATCCATTAAGATAAAACAGCTTTTTTTCCCTCCTCAGTCACCAGCACAGAGATACAATATGCTGCGTGTGTACATGGAGAAGTTAAATAATAAAGACACACAAGTGCGCACACAGATCGATATATCAATATCACTGGCTGCTCTTTGCTTCCTTTCGATCTCTGTCCACCGTCCATGCAACATTTAACACAGAGATATTGTATATCATATATTCTCACCAAACATCCCCCTGTACAAAGATTTTTTGATCTCAGTCATACGCACACACACACAGCACATTTTTTCCCCTCTTCGTCTAGCCATCTCTCCATCTCTCTCTCCTTTTTTTTTTCTGGGGTGAGAACGATGGCACTTAGTCACCATGGCAACAGCGCTTTGATGTGATCATGGCCTGATATTCCTATTGACATCAGTGTGGAGTGACATCAGTGCCTTATTATGCAGAGCCAAAACAGGACAATGTCTACAACCTCCTTCCTGGAACAAAAACCAAAAACACACACACAAAAAAACCCCGCAAGAGATGAAGCGAGAGAGACAGTGTGGAAATGATGGTGAGGAGGGACGAGAAAAAAGTTCAAGGGGGGAAAAAAAAGGGCAGAAAATAATACAGATGGAATAAAAATGAAAAGGAAACAAGAAGTAGAGCGTGGAGCGTGAGCGAAAAAGCAAGAGGAACTGAGAAACAGCGGTAAAGAGACAGAGAAAGATATAGAATAGGAAAAGGCAAACAGGGAGAAATGGGAGGCGTAATTCGGCTCGACAGACGGAAAGAGAGGAAAAACATTCAGAAAGTGGAAGCTCTCTGTGCTTGTTCTCTTTCTGAACTAATGGGAAGATTTGGACTGTTGCTGCTGATGCCAAACTGACTTAGCTGGAGGCCGTCTTGCACAGACAGACTCCCGGTGTCAATCAATCCTCCAGACTGCAAACACACAGCCATCTAATTCATTACAGCTATCTGCCTTGGCCATCTCTCTTCTGGCATTACATCGCCTCTGGCTGCTTGCTCTTCCCCACTGGACCCATCCAAACCAAACACGACTCTAATTGGCCACGGGCCCCCGACCCCCGGGTGGCCCGTAATGTCATAGGCAATGTCATACAGACACACACAACCACACATCAGACAGACATCTTTGGTTGATATAAAGAACAAAAGTTGTTAGTTTACATGTAACTTTTATGATTCCTCCCGTTGGTTGTTACCTCCGCTGCTGCATTTTATTTTTCTCAGTGGCATCGTTTCAGGCTCAGATTATAAGCACAAAGTCACATAACACACTTCCTGTCACCAAGGTTGAAAATTCCCACTGCAACATGCTTGGATTGGGTCCGAGATTGTGTCCACACCGTGTCCAACTCCAGGCCTCGAGGGCCGGTGTCCCGCAGGTTTAAGATACCACCCTGGGTCAACACGCCTGAATCAAATAATTCGTTCATTACCAGGCATCTGGAGAACTTCAAGACATGTTGAGGAGGTCATTTAAGCATTTAAATCAGCTGTGTTGCTGGACACTGGCTCTTGAGGCCTGGAGTTGGACACCCCTGGTGTAGGACATCTGAATCTGGGTCACTGCAATTTTTTTTAAGAACATCAAGACTATATATACATTTTTTTTTTAAATTTATGTCGATATTTTTTGTGAAGAAATTCTGAAAGAATGGAAAAGAATCCTCTCAAAAAACACTTGGATCCAGTTCTGTATCTGATCTGAGATTCACCACCTACGCAGCGCCCTCCGGCCTTCACTACTGAACCAACCCTTAATAACATTGGTGAAGGTAACAAACACATACGTAGGAATGTGGCGGGAGAGACTCTTTGTCGTCACAGCGCCTTCTCTTGGCCTCAGCTCCTCCCTGCGAGGAGGCGTAACCTCCTGATGGGCCTTGGCGCTCTTCATTTGGCTGGCTGTCTGTGGATGACACCGACTTACTCTGGGGGAAAAGAAAAGACAGGAACACAATCAAAAGTATGAACGCGTGAACACGACCTCACAGCAAAAGCACAGGTAACGACCGCCCAGGGCATGACACGCAGATTCACGTCACACTCGCAAATGATCAAACACAGCAAAGTAAACACGTGGAGATACAGTGGATGGAAAAACAGACATTAAAAGCACACAAAACACACACAGAAAAACACAAGCACGGGTTAAGACACGGTCATAGCGGTGCACAGGCCAGCCCATAAAGCTAATTACTGCTCTCCCTCGACACAGCAGTCTTCATGTAAAATATGAGTCTCATTATTGGCCAATAAAGCTGTGCAGGTATATTTACAAGCCTTTCCTGGTGCTCAGCACTCTGAAAACCCGATCAAAGCATTGTGTTGTTTTAGGACTGGGGCAAGGGCCGGAGGTTCGGCGAGGGCCACTTTTCATTCTCTGTCCCCCCGTGGGGAGGACAAGAACAGCGAGGGTTTAACACACGAGTGAGTCACACAGGAAGGAGCCCACGGGAACGGCAGGAAGGAGTACAACACACGAGAGAAGAGGCTACACAATGGACCTCAGTGCAGCTCCGCAAATTTCCCTCGTGTCATTCTTTTCCGCCTTTTTTCTCCTCTTCTGTTCACTTCCTCTCGCTGTCCCTTTCCCCCCCTCCATTTCAAATTCAAACTTGTTTTTGCCAGCGTGGGGCTCTCTGATAAATGTCAATTGATATGCATCCTCCTCCTCCTCCCTTTCTTCCCCAAATGCGGTAATGCTTGGCTAAGTTCAGCAGAAACCTCCGCTCATGAGAGAAATATTTTCTTGGTGCTTAACAATCGGCATTGTGCTCGCAGTTAAATTATGCTAAGGTTTTCACTGCAGAAAGAGCGAGGGAAAGTAAAGTCAGCAGCGGCCCTAAATCATTTTTATTTCACAATAAAGCTAGAACAAAGACTTGTTGGTATTTTTAACAACACCCCACCGCTGCCAGCACATTCTCCCCTCCACCCAGTTTCAAGTTTCTCCTCTTTAGTTTCTTTTTCAGTTTTCATACAAATAATTTTGCTGCTTCTGATGGAAAAACTCCAACAGGTCAGTGCTGCAGTGAAATGTCACCTTAAAGAAAAGACAGCTACTGTAATGTCATCTGTGTCACTTTGGTTTATTCTTATTGTGCCAATGAAACTCAGAATAAGTTACTGTACATATAAAAACTGTCAAACAACCACAAACCCAAACAAACTAACTAACCCAAACTTCTTATATTTTTTGTTTCATGTCGAATAATCTTCTGGCATCTGGTTCATTTTATCTCAAAGTTTTTGAAACACGTTGCGTCCACCATGCATCCACTCATGTTTCCTATGTTCTGCTGTTAATAAAACATCTTTTTCAGATTTGGACATCAACACATTCTGTTTTTATTTCCATTCTGCACAACAGCCCAACTTTTTTTGGAACCGGGCTGGTAAACTGATAATTTTTGCTCTTGGAGCAACATGTGTTCAAACATTACATTACTTCCTGCAGGCTACAAACTCCATAAGCCTTTGAACTGTTCATCCATTCATGGTGAACAGCATTTTGATTTTCTGGTGCAGCGATTTCACTTCATGGTGACGACGGCACTTTTGCACATTAGGTTTAATATTAACTAAGGATAGTTTCGACTCTGAAGCATCTAATCGCTGTTGGATCTGCTGTTCAGGAATATTTGGCGATTCACGGCCACTATTTAGCGGTTTTACTTGCATTTCTTATTTTGGGGTATTTTGGGCAGCATTTAACATTAACTCAGATATAATCCTTCCTCGTGTTCTGTATATGTTGTAGATTACCCGAATATTTGTGGCGCTGATAAAGAAACAGTCCATTAACTCAGTTCGTGGGCTCCTCCAGATAACGGTCGACTGCGGCGAGCTCAGACGTTAGTATAATGTGGAAAACCTTGAGAAGCTCAAGGTTGATGGTGATGAGCTGCTATTGTGCCGGTGTTGAGCAGTGCTACTCCTGGCTGAGCTCCAGCAAAACACTGCCTTTTTTAGAGGCCACTTTGCGGCGCGTCTCCATTTCCCTCAGTTTATCACTGTCACACACGCGCGTGCACACGGTGAAACGTGGGCGTACAAAACACTTACATCAAGGTACACACATGCAACACTACTCACCCTGCTGGGCGCTCCCTCTGGGTTGGGGCAGAGAAAGGGAAGGAAAGAAAACCGAGCAGAGAAAAGAAGAGAGCGATGAAGAAGGGAAAATGGGGAGAAGAGAGAAAGTTTGACGTCAGTGCCGATAACAACAACAACAGTCCCCAGTCAGCCAAGGTTAGGCTGAACTACGACGACTTCTGTCTAATAAAGATACAAACCCACTATTGTGCCCGACTCCAGCCTCCTCTATCCTCTCTATCTTTCCCTCTCTTTCTTCTCCAAGCAGACAAAGCTCGCTGTCTTCCCCTGCTGCCATCAACGCTCACCATCTTTTCCCTCATTCTTCGTCTCATATGTAAGAACAGAAACACACACAGCTGCAGACATGCATAAGCTCTTACACAGATGCTTAACGTGACAATACGAACACAGTGATCTCTTTATCTTTCCCCCGTTTCTGTTCTCACCGATTCCTTCCATTTTTCTTTCTAGCTCTCAGTTTATTCATGAGAAAGTCTCTCTTGGCTCGCTGCCGGAAAAACTGCACAAAGATAAGATATTCTATCGGGGTGAAAGGAAGTTCATAGGGAGAGAGCGTTTCTCCTGCATTTACAGAAAGGCCATGAATACATCTGGTCATGGTAAGACAGCAATCGAAACAGGAAAGTTCAAACTGAGTCCAAAAGGTGAGTTCCTGGACAAATTACAAAGCAGCTGCCAGTCAGAGATGATGTATAGTGCTGCTTTGCATTTTTGACTACATTTTGTGTGGTTAAAAATGATAAAAAATGATCTTTTTCTTATTCTGCAGCTGTCATGAGTTACTATCCGCCGATTCTAGGATGACAAATGAAGCCAATTAAAGACAAAAATCAGAAATGCAAATGTTGGAAAACAGACACATTTTAGGAAGCAAAAAATCATCTCTGCGCGTTTGACATTCGATAGGTGCACGCGCAGTTTCCCTCAGCCTTTTCCTCAGCCTCACATGTACAGAACTAGCTAACCAAATCTGCTCAAAATGTTCAATACTGTCATTGATTTTATCATCGATCAAGCACTTTGTGTAAACCTGAAACAAAAACAAGTACACTGATTCTCACTGTGGAACAACCGTGGTTCACTTCAGGGCTGGAGGGATTTTTAGGGGTAAAAACGTCCACATTAAGAAACAAAATGTTCTGATGAGTGTGAGTGCAAGTAAAAGCAGTCGGTTTCAATAGTAGAAAAGACTAACGCTGCTCAAAGTCACAGAGGAGACAAAAGTCTTTTATTCTAGCTGCTCACTCAGAATATCCTCATGACAAATACTCTACCAAAACACATAATCCTGGTTTTACAGTCAAAACTGAGAACGAAGAGGATAAACGCTTCTTTACCTCTGAGATGTTCAGGGTCCAGGTGGTTGCGCTCATCTTTGGAGGCAAGGTGGGCTGAGACCCCCAAAGCCCCCGTCAGTGCCAGCAGTCCTGAGCCCCCTGCGCCCAGGGACAGCCCTGATGGGTGTGGCGTCAGGGGGATGCCAGGGGCGTGGTGAGACAGGTGCTGGAGCTGCTGCTGCTGTGGCCACAGGGAAAGAAAGTAGCGGGGAGGTAAGGAGTAAGGGGAGGGAGGGTGAGATACAAGGGAGTGTGTGGTTAGAAAAGACAAGGTAAAGAAGAAAAGGGAATGAAAAACGGGAGAAGTGAAGTGAGGGGGAAGGCAGTGTTGTGGTTGGAAAAAGAATTGAGGAAAAACATGAGAAAGGGAGAAGGCGAATTAAATAAAACACACATGGAGAGCCAAACGGTGAAGAAGGATGTTAAGATGAAAGTGGACAGGATGTGAAAGTGATTAGAGGATTAACAGGTGAAAGGATGGAGACCAAGGATGGGAAAGAGGACAAGGAAAGAAAGGCAGAATGAAATTGAATGATCATGATACACCCAGGAAGCAAAGGCAGTTGAGAATGAAACCAAGAAGTGAATAGAAGAGTGAGATATCGAGGCAATGGGATTTATTATAAAGGAGAAGAAAAAGGTAGAAAAGGGGCCATGGGAAAACACAGGGAGGATTAAAGGGAAGGATGAAAATGTTTGAGTCACAGAGCAAATGATGAGGAGAAATAGAAGGAAATAACATAGGAAGCAATGAAAAGTGAAGGAGAATTACATGAACAGGGGAAAGAGTAAATGAGTGCAGGAAGAAAGGGAAGGCAAGTGTGCAGCAGGGAGAATAAAAGGTAAGAGAAAAAAAATGATGGCAGAGAAGAAATGAGGACACGGCCGATGTAAGATGGAGAGAACGATAAAAGATTGTGGGGAAAATCCAGAAAGAAAATGACGAAGGCAAGAAAAAAAGAGAGATGGAGAAAAATGAGGAGAGAGAGAGAGAGGAGAGCAAAGGAGCAGCTATAGATAAAGAAAGGCTATTATCCTGAGGGGAGCATTATGATGTGTTTTTGTGTGCTGTTTTGTCAAGCCGGTGTATTAGACACACATACACACACAAAAGCACACACACCTTAGAGACAGCAGTGTTTGTAGTGCTGGGAGGAACAAAGGGCCTTAAGTAGACAGTAATGTGATCAGTGCTCTGACAAGCTGTGGAAAGCCCCATCTACTACAGCACTCAGGAGCATCACTGTGTCTCTCTGTGCGTACATATATATGTATATACAGACAAGCAGATCATATGCACAATATGAACATTGGTAAAGTTCTAGAATTGATGATTCAGGCAACTCATTATTTAGTTGTGTCAAATCTTCAGATTAATAAACCATTCCTGTTCAAATCTGACCTCTTCTACTCGCTGACCTTCCGCTCACATGATCAACATTTGCCAAATGGTCTCGCTGTGCATGTAGCTCTGCAAGTAAGATGGCAGCGATGAAAGCCTTTATGTTTTGGAAGTATCCACATTATTTTAAGTTTGTGGGTGAAAATGGCAGGAAGATCACAGGGAAATGCAAACTGTGCCCAGGTGTAAAGTGTCTGTCAGCTGCGAAAAGCTCCCCCCTTCAAATTTGAGGAAGCACCTGTGAGCTAAACATAGCTCCACAACAGTGGTGGAGAAGAGGAGGAGAACGATGCTGGCGCCACAGCTCCCACACGTTAACGGCGAGCGTTTAGTTTGGTTTAAGCTGCCGCTGCAATGAAAAATGATGAGGGCATCGCCGGTTAGATGCGACCAATATCATCTCACGGTGAAATGAGGAAACGTACATATATGTGCAATAGGGCTGCCACAAACAATTATTTTGATAGTCGACTAGTCACCAATTATTTTTGGGATTAGTCGACTAATCAGATCATGCATCCATTGGACGTACAACGTACAGCTTATTGCACCAGCATGCATCTGCTCTTATATAACTATCATTAGCTTACAGCTTTAAGTGTTTAAGGTATGTGCTAACTAAAAATAAAGACAAGATGATAGTTTTGCATTGTTTGGGTGAAGTTTAATAAACTCCTTGCTATCTAAAATATAACAGGACAAACTAACTTCAGCCAAACCGATTTACTCAGGAATAAATACACTTCTAAAAAAAGCCAAACAATAACATTTAAGTGACTTATGTATGTTTAACCTGAGTAGCGACAGACGGCGGTGGGTTTGAAAACGATCTGCAGGGAGTCCGGTGTTCTCACGGGCTCTAGTGAGCCTAGCCCCCGGTTAGCTATCGAGCTAGTGGGTAACAGATGTCTCCGAAACCGTCAGAGCGCTTTTCAAAATATGTGGTGTCTTGATAAACTGAGCAGATATTTAAGTTTTACACAGCTACATTCTCGCCTGAAAATATGTTAAACGTTTATTTTGTGACCCAGAAAGAATAATAAGAGTAATATTAAAACTAACCAGCTGCCGCCATTGTTGGAAACTGAGCTGGGCTGCGCTATGAATTCTGGGACACAGCTGCTTCTTCTTCTTTGGGGTTTAACGGCAGCTGGCATCCTTGTACATGCAGTGCTGCCATCTTCTGTTTCAGTCCGTTATTACACTCTTAAATCCTACTACTTATTCCTGCGTCTTTTGTGATCTTACAAAGCTTCAAACGACACGTCAACTATTAAATCAGTCGTCGACGATTTTGATAGTCGACGTAATCGTGACTAGTCGACTAATCGTGGCAGCCCTAATGTGCAGTGGGGCACATGCATACTCAGGACAATATAGCCAAATGTGCAAGGGCGTGCTTTTGGTGATGAAAAAAATACTCTGATAAGTCTAATAAGTTAGTATTCAAAGTATTGTGAATCAACTTTTTGGGTGACCACCTGATGTTGCTCAAGAGGAAGCAAACAGCAGGATCACTGCAAAAGAAAAGAATGACTGTGTTGCAGTGGAGTCCAAGTCCAGACCTCAACCTGATCGAAATGCTGATACGGGACCTTAAGAGAGCTGTGCATAAACAGATGCCCGCAAATCTCAATGAGGTGAAGTGAAGTTGTAAAGAAGGGGGGGGGGGCAAAACTTCTCCATAAGGATGTGAGAGAAATGGAAAGTTACTGCTGTTAAAGGTGGTTCTGCAAGCTACTGAATCATTTTCACAGGACTGCTCATCACAGACGTTTGTATTTATAGACATTAAGAATGAATAATAATTTAATTCCCATCATTCTTAGTTCCTCTGTGTTGATGAATCAAGGTGACTCACCCCGATGATGGCGTTGAGTTCAGCCATAGTGACCTGCTTGGCCCTCTCCACAGCTTGGACCACCTGTTGCTGGTGCTACACATACACATAAAGGGAGAAAGTGAAAGAAAGACATATTACAGTGCATAATCATCCACGGTGTGTACTGGGATATATACTGTAAGCATAATGTGATGTAGAGTATATTGCATGTACACTCAGTAATGACACAACGGGGACTTTTACATTAAACAAGCTAGAGAAACGCTGCTGCCTCCATCCAAAGCCGGTACAGGTAGTGCAAATAAGATGGTCTGGATGGAGCAACCATGCATTCACACAACACAAACATTGAGAGAACGTCACAAAAAACGGAAGCGCACACACTGTAGCCAGACACGTACAGAGATACGTGCGCATTCACACACACCGAGAGCAAGGCTAACGAAAACCTCAGCTCTGTTTGAACAAAATCCCAATGTAATCAGTCGCACAAACTCAAACATACATGTGTGTGCCGCTGTTGCACACCTACACACAGAATACACACAGTGTCAATATTGATCAAACTGACAAAGCTGTGACCTTGCTGTCTCCAGGTAGCGCACTCAGTGTACACTCACACTTGGAGACAAAAAAAAGGAGGGTGTCTGCAGGTTTGTATTTACAATGTACACAATGTACACACCTGCACAAAAAACCCTCCACGCACACACAAATGTACAGTAAAAATCACACTGACGCAGTAGAATTAAACTATAAAAATGGTTTCCTCTCATTTAATCTGTTTTGTTGTCTCGCCCAAAGTCAGAGCAACAATGTAACAATATATCATCAATAATTCTGCTCCTCTAAGCACATACAAATTAAATTACGGCTTTAAGGAGCAATTAATGAAGCAAAACACTCGTGCAGGAATGGTGATAATGTTTCTGAATGATAAGAGGCCCTGAAGCTCTTAAAAAAAGTATGTATTTAACTTAGAGTAGTCAGAGAGCTTACTTCATGATGTGCTGTATAGCTGCGTCTATGCTAAAGACTTCTGCTTTGTCTCCAGTTACACTGAAAGTTGTGAGATTTATTATGTTATCAGCGCCATTCGCTATTGGATAGTTCATTAGTAAATAACCCCAGAAACACATACAATGCATATGACTGTAATACCTTGTTTTCACCATGGGGCATTACATTAAATAATAATAATAATAATAATAGTATCAAATATTAGCTGACTGTAACATGACATGGTGGCCCCTTCAAGTCAGAAATGTAGAAGTATCAATCACATCTGCTACACTAACTGTGAAATTGTTATTGTTATATATTATTGTTGGTTTGATTTATTTATCTTAAAAATTAGCCAGTTGTTGTGTTCTCCTAACAGAGCCAGATCAATAATTTGTTGGAGATCGTTTTTAATAATGCCGCCTCTGTGCACCGCTGCATTGGATTTAAAATCAAACACTCAAGACATGATTGAAGTGCAGGCTTTCAGCTTTAATTCAAGTCGTTAAAAAAGAAAGAAATATTCAACTGTTTAGTATTTACTGATATTTTTATACACAGTTCCACATTTTCAGAAGCAAAAAGTCTAGAACCCATGAACATCAATGCTGTGTTTCCTACCTCAGGATGCTCAACTAGACTTTTACTGCAGCTGCTATTAGTTGCTTTATTGTTTGTTGGTCCTTCTGCCTTAAGATTTGTATTAAATACCTGAAAAGCGTGGTCTATTGGTTTGAGAACAAGTGAATCACTTTTTGCCTTTAAAAAATACCCATTTTCTTTTCATTGATAAACTCTTGGGTTGTTTTTTCAGTCTGCTTTGGTTCATTTTCCATTCACATCATCAGTAAACACTACTGACATGGTTCTACTGGCAGCCGTAACATTGCCTCCAACTTTTCTCACAGATTTGCTGTTAAAAAAGCAGAGCTGGTGAGTGGAGTCCTTATTTTTAGGAATAAACCAAATTGTAGATTTGGCCACTCGTAACGTTTTTGCTTTCTCTCGGTTTATTTTGCTTTTTCAGCCCGATGGTGGAATTATTCACTGGCAAAATTACAGTGAAAATAAAGCGAAATACAAATTCAACACTGTCCAGTTGACATTAAGCCTGAAACTGTGGGACTCAGAGGCAACACTAAATGTTTTTATCCAACAAATTATGGATCTAACTGTATATAATACAGAATTCTGTCCAAGTGACAACATTCCACTGAAAGTTAACGTTCCATTATCAATATGCTTACTTTAAAATGTAAAGGATTTGGATGAATTAACATCTGTGTAGCAAATCAGGATTAGTATTTAAATTCTTCGACTGTTAAATGTCTTGTATGCCAGCGGTCCCCAACCCTCGGGCCTCGGTCCGTGAGTCGTTTGGTACCGGGCCGCGAGAGTTGAGGCTCAGGTGTGAAATGTCTAGTTTTCAGGGGTTTTATCAGTTTTCAGCGTTATTTTGTTATCGTTTTTATCGTTAACTCGGTTTTCCTGGGTCTTTTCACGTGTGTTATGAATAAATCTTCTTTTTTCGGTACCGGTACTAGTTTTATTTTGTTGTATTTATCTGCGACACCTTAACGGCCGGTCTGTGAAAATATTGTCGGGCATAAACTGGTCCGTGGCGCAAAAAAAGTTGGAGACCGCTGCTGTATCCAGTATATGATTTCTGATATTCTGTGAGGAAGTGTCTGAGGTATGAGTGGTTTTCTCCCCTTTTTTGTGCCAGCATGTTGCTTGTGCATGTGTAAATGTCTCTGGCTGTAGTAACACTTACCTCTTGAGAGAGGAAAGGGGTGATCTGAGCACAGATGGCACTGAGACGCTTGACAATCTCCGCCTGTGATGGAAAGAGAGAGAAATGAGAGTGAGAGACAGAAGGAGAGAGTAGTAGGGGATATATAATCATGTTGCATATTGCAGGATCATAAGTACACAATGAGCACAGAGCATATGATACACCTCTACAGCACATTAAGCCTTTGTTGCATTTAAACACCTTCTTAATGAGCAAGAAGTTCTGTCAGTGACATTTCTGTGAGACTGAGAGAAGAAACGTGGGGGATTGTGTGAGCGAACAGCAGAGGTGGTGGGATGGAGGCAGCATTAGAGCTACGCTCATCATTTGGGTCTTTTAGCACCTTCACACTAGTTTCACTCAGCTTGTCCTCACAATCCAACAATAAACATACGAACATTCACAGAGAGCCGAAAACCTCAGAAAATTCCTCCCGAGCTCTCCACCTGTCTCAGCCGGCTATTTCATGTTATTATGTTTGTCCATTTCCGAAAACTGGGAAAATTCACGAAAATGCTTTTTCTTGGTCCCCTTATCCTCCATCCATCCATTCACACCAACAGCAATAGTGCCCTTCCTAAGAAAACTGCTGCCCACACACACACACACTCTACACCAGTGCACACAAACACACAGAAACAAAAGCACACTCCCTCTCAGCCTTGCACACAAACACACACACGCACAGTGAACCTCTGCGGTGTGTCTAATTCTATCTGTCTGAGTGCCCTCAGCCTCATTTTGTTCTCTTCTTCACTCAGCCGTTCTCTCTTTTTCTACAACAGCTCTCACACTGAGCCATTATTACCCTATTCATCCTCTTCCTCCCATCCCTCTCCCCCTCTCTCTTCCTCTCTCATCTCCCTCCCCTCAGTTGCTCTCTTTGTCTATTTCCCCATCTTTCTATTTTTCTATATTATTTCCTCTCTTTTATAATCTGTCGGCCCTCTTTTTCCCTCAGCTGCTCTTATTCTTCCTCTATAACATCAGTCGCTCTCATGTTTTCGGTGATTTTTCTCCAACAGTCTTATTTTTCCCCCCTTTTTCCTCCATCTGCCCGTCCTGCTTTCGGTCTCTCTTTCTCTCTGCATCACTTCATCCTCACTAACACATGTTGCTGGCACTTAGAGGCGTTTAAGAGGAATAGATAAAAGACAGCAGACGTGGCAATGGAGGGCAGCGCAGGACTGACGGGGCTGTGTATGCCATCATACAAAGGCTCTCAGAGACACGCACCATTCAACCAGCCTTTCGGTTACTCTCAACGAGGCTTCATAAACAATTAGCACCAGACACCCGGCTCAGTTCCAAGGACAGACACAGCTTCATGCGTGTGTAAACCTATGCATTCATGTGTAGATGACTGTGCCTCAGCTCCTTTGGTGTATTTCTATAAAGCATGCGTGTCTGTATGTATGTGAGGACCACAAAGAGTTAGAAAGAAGAACTTGGCAAACCTGAATATATTTTTTATAACTGGAAGTAGATTATCCGCCTGCTGCCAATGTGAAACTTTTACTACATTAAACTCAAGGGAGTCGTTCTTCTGTAATCAAGTGGTATCTGTTCTTCTGAAACCTTGGTCAGTCTGCTTGACTATACTTTAGCCTGTTGCTCGTTCAATCTGTCCAACTAGATCGCAGATGGAAATAAATCAAAGCACTCGTACTCGGGCAATGGGAAATAGAAGCAGGGATATATTGAAACATGAGCATTTGTACAGTTCTGCCAATCTTTACTTCTTTAACACAGCCTGAACTCTCTTAGTCAAGCTTTCTTGTAATTTCTTTAGGTAGTCGTCAGCAATAGCTTCTTGAAGGTCATTCAAAGCTCTTCCTTGGATGTTGGCTGCTTTTTATTCCATTTGCTGTAAAGATGATCCCACACTGCTTCGGGTCTGCGCTCGAGGAAGGCCAGCCTATAACCGTTTGTGTTCCACTGTGTGTTTTTCTATCCAAGTATGCTTTTACAGCATTTGCATTGTCTGTGGGACTATTGTTGTACTTCTTTCCTGATAATGTTAAAAAAAGAAATTTCAAATTGCTGAGATGTGCCATGTTTTCAGCTAATAGCTCTTTGGGAATCACCTTGTTGGTGTAAAAATATCATTTATGCCAGTCAAACATGGCATTTAGATTCAACTAAAGAAATGGGAAAAAATGATGTGTTGTGCTAGTAACAAAGGGACTAGAGATAGAATTTAAAGGGGTTCATCCCTGGAGTTAGGTGACTTTTTTATGCTTGAATAATTCACGGGTCAGTGTTAAGAAAAAATTTCCTTGAACATAGTCCGGTACAAGGACTCTTCCTCATTTTCGGGAGTGAAAATGAGAGAAAAAAAAGCAGCAAATGTCAAAAGAAAAATCTTGAAAGACTTTCAGATGGCCTGAAGAACTATTCCTCAAGGCCTCAGTAAAACATTAGAAGAAAGTCTGGCTGCTTGGAAGCAAAATGTAAAGCAATAATGGGTGGCTCAAGACTGTTGCACAGTACCGTATATCTGTTGTTGCTCTGAGTTGACACGAACAGCTTTAGAAATAGGAAACAAGTTCTTATGTATTAAAAAAGATCACACTCTGGGAACAGTTTGATCCACAAATTGCTCTAAGTGGACACATGTTTGAGGATTAACTGTCATTTTGTAATTTGTGAGATGGTTCACAACCACTTCTCACTGAGTTTTTGCTAATTATGCAGGGTATAGTTCAGTACACTTCAGTGTTCAGTGTTCTCCTCCATTAATTATCTTTGCAACTATGCCAGATTGCCGCTTATCATGCAACAGGTTGTGCTCAGCCATCAGATCAATTCAGATGACCTGGTTCAGTTTGGCCAGTAGGAAACCGATCTGACAGTACTGATGTTTAACCATATGTCTGATAACCAAATACAATCTGAAGGGACTGACCTGAACATGGTTGGTCTATGAAGCCACTCTTATTGACTGTCCCCATAACTTTGATCTTACGACATACAAACAAACTTTACCGGAAAGATAAAAAACAAAAGTTAAAGAGAAGATCATAAACAAACTCCACGTTATGCCTGAGAGACAGTAGGTATTATAAGCACAAGATACCAGTAACTGATGGGTTTTACAACTGGACGAAAGCGAGCTTGCTGAAGCAGCCTGAGCCGGGCCGGGTCTCAGAAACAACACAGCACACTGTCGTTCCACTGTCCAACCGAAGAACAGCCACCAGGGAGGACTGGCAAAGACTGGCTGGATGGAGGGATGAATGGATGGATAGATACAAAGGAAAGCGAGGGACTGGTCAATAAACACCTGAGGGCAGATACCCTGCCAGCTGGCATGGAGTCAGACAGCGAGACAGAGAAAAAAGCTTCAGATGAAACAGAGAGAAAATATAGGTGAGGGAATAGCTTTTCAATCACAAGGGCAAAAATCTACCAAAACAGTCTCCAGAATAAACAGACTGACAGAGGAAGGGAAATTGAAAGAAATGAAGACAAGGAAGAAGAAGAAGGAATGAATTCTGGGACAAAGACAGTCTGTTCCTGAGGACTGTTCGAGCCACAGGCAAAAAAAACACACATGCTCCATGTATGACGGTGTCTTCATGTAACAGACAAGCTCACTCAGTAGAAGCACACCTAGGCTTTTCATCGCTGACAGGATGCAACCCTCTCAAATCTAAAACAACTATGCAATTACCAGGCTTATGCAGGTATATTCCGCATCGATTATATACCACACATTGTAAAATACATAAATATCTACGTGAAACCACTAAAAAAAATGTCAGTACCCTAGACACAGCACACTGTACTAAGTCACATCAAAGACTGTCAGAAACATGACATCCAGCATGATGATATCTCTGCAATTCAGCAGAAGTGAAGAGTTTAGTCTATAAAAAGACAGATGTGTTGAGCTGATGTTTCTCTGTTAGTAGGACTTGAAAAAGTTGCCAAAAAATGTTCGCCTGGAGTGAAATCATACCACATAAGAATGTGCAGGTTCTTTGTAACTGTTATCATAAATGCAATCAAGTATACACCCTCTGTGCATTTCTTAATAATGTGATGCCATTTATTTCCTCAAGATTTCCTACAAGCCAAGGAAAAGACAAATTTTTATATTTTAAAGTGGTCAGCAGCACATGATTTGACATCATGATTAAAAATCTGAATGCAAGTCAGACATACACGCCAATAAACTGTCCTTGACCCAACATTTTGGACCCACATTCAGCTGTCAGTCAGGAGGAACTCCAAAGACAGGCAGGAGGGACAGTTTCCACACCAGCATTCGGCTCAGTGGACCATAATGCAGAGGCAAGAGTGACGCTTTGAGTTAGAGGTGTAATTCTTAGAGTTTGACTGTAAAAAAAACAAAAAAAAACAACTAATTCTCCCGCACTTACTTTGCAATTGCTATCTGCTGCTCTCCGTCCACCCACATATTTAACCCACACGATAAACGCAACATGTTCCTGTCTGTTCTATGAAGGCTGTCAAAATGCATTCTGGAAAATGCTGAAAATGACTAACTGAAGTAGAAATAGTCCAGACAGGTGGGAAGATGAGGCTGTGCGTACTCTAAAAAGAAAATTATAACACTCACAAAATAAGCAACTGCAGAATGATGGCGCATCTGCCTATGCAATTTTCTTTAAAAAAAATAATAAAAGTGCAAGAGTTTGGCTTTGCTCTGACAAAGCCAAAGTTTGTTTCGTAGTGAGGTCGTGTTACGCGTTACGTGTTACAATCTGCACGCAGCTGTTTGCTTAGAATGACAAAGCATCTTGTGTTTTTTTCATCCTGTGTAGCTGCAACATATCGCCAGACAAAGCGACGAAGACTAAATGCAGAGAAACTCAAATGAAGGGCTGAACTGAAAGTCCCATTTCTCCGAGCACACACATTTTCACTTTTGACATTAAAGTAAACTTGAGCTGGAACAATGGGGAAGCCACTTCCCTGTGAAAGATCAGCATTCAATTTGGTCTCTCAGCATGACAGCGAGCAACACTGACCGCGTTCGTCTTGCCAATAAAGCTTGGTGAATTTGAATGTGA